TTCCACCGTTCTGTCTTCCAGGTCACTTATCCGTTCTTCTGCCTCAGTTATTCTGCTATTGATTCCTTCTAGTGTACTTTTCATTTCAGTCATTGTACTGTTCATCTCTGCTTGTTTGTTCTTTAATTCTTCTAGGTCTTTGTTAAACATTTCTTGCGTCTTCTCGATCTTTGCCTCCATTCTTTTTCCAAGGTCCTGGATCATCTTCACTATCATCACTCTGAATTCTTTTTCTGCAAGGTAGCCTGTCTCTTCACTTAGTTGTTTTTCTGGGGCTTTATCTTATTCCTTCATCTTGTACCAAGTCCTCTGTCTTTTCATCTTGTCTGTCTTCCTGTGAATGTGGTTTTCCTTCCACAGGCTGCAGGATTGTAGTTCTTCACTTGATCTTAGCCAAAAGGCCGAGAAGCGACAGAATTGTAGTTCTTGCTTCTGCTGTCTGCCCTCTGTCTTTTGAAAGTTTGACTTCGTGTCTTGTGATCTTTTGGAGTTCACCTTACTTGGAATTTGTTTAGCTTCTTGTACAGGCCATTCTTCATTTTATTGTGCTTTGCAGATACTGTGTTGTTGTTGTTGTTTTTTTACCAACTGAAGGTTTGTGGCAACCCTGCATCAAGCAAGTCTACTGGCCCCATCATTCCAACAGCATTTGCTCACTTCATGTCTCTTATGTCACATTTTGGTGTTTCTTGCAATATTTCAAACTTTTTCATTATTATCATAGTTGAATTGGTGATCTGTGATCAGTGATATTTGATGTTACCACTACAGCTCCGTGAAGGCTCGACGATGGTTAGGATTTTTTTGACAGTATTTTTAAATTAAAGTATGTACTTTTTTTTTTTTTTTTTTTTTGCCAATGCTATTGCACACTTAATAGACCACAGTATAAGGACTTCCCTGGTGGCGCAGTGGTTGGGAATCTGCCTGCCATTGCAGGGGACACAGGTTTGAGCCCTGGTCCGGAAGGATCCCACATGCTGCAGAGCAATTAAGCCCATGCGCCACGACTACTGAGCCTGCGCTCCAGAGCCCGCGAGCCACAGCTGCTGAGCCCACGTGCCACAAATGCTGAGGCCTGTGTGCCTGGAGCCCATGCTCCACAAGTGAAGCCACCACAAGGAGAGGCCCACGCACCACAGTGAAGAGTAGCCCCCTGCTCGCTGCAACTAGAGAAAGCCCGTGCACAGCATCAAAGATCCAACGCAGCCAAAAAGTAAATAATAAATTTATTTTTAAAAAAAGACCACAGTATAGTGTGAACATAACTTTCATACGCAATGGGAAACCAAAAGTTCGTGTGGACTCACTTAATTGCTATATTTGCTTTATTGCAGTGGTCTGGAACCAAACTCACAATCTCTAAGGTATGCCTTTATGTTTATATTCATGTGTCTCACGAAATGTGGAAAATTTCCAGCCATTATTTTTTTCTTTTTTTTGCGATACGCGGGCCTCTCACTGTTGTGGCCTCTCCCATCGTGGAGCACAGGCTCCGGACGCGCAGGCCCAGCGGCCACGGC